CTGCTAATCAGTTGACAGCATTGGGCGTCGGGAAGGGAGTGATGGCCAAATACGTAAAAATTACGAGTCTTGGTATAATCTTGTTATTACAATATTACGTTCTTTACACTACTAGAAATTTAGTGTTAATACAAAAACATCGTTGTGTGGTCAAGTATGGAAACGTTTTGAAAATCTGACAGTTGCTTGAAATTTATTTATTTGATCACGGCATCCAATTAATAACTGCTCTACTAAAATACAGATTTCATTGTCGGTGGTGAGGGACTTGGGAATGTAGAAAATTTTACTTTATTTTATATATCAAAATAGTTCTCGGTTTTGAAAGGTTTTCAAGCCGGTAATAAAGTATAGACACTAAATGTAGCATTAAGGTTCTCGTGTAATAACAACAAATTAAGAAATTTACACTTTTTAGGCGTCTCTCTCAATCTACACAAAATTTAAAAAAACTCTCGTATCCCCTGGAAATCTTATAAGCATCGAAGTTGTTTTAGAATGCATTGACCAAAGAGAGCGAATAATGGAAGCAGCGCAGCTCGCGGTGCGCGTACTAGATTGAATATGAATGTATCGATATTAGTGCGAATTTCTGTCAAGTCAAGCTTAGCGTAGTTTACAGGGTATAGCTTAGTCGGGTGCTCCCTGCTAGAGTACTCTTAATAATTTTATTTAAGTATGAAATAATCGTTAGTTAATCTGTTGGTTTGCTCTCCTTGTATTTTGATGTATATTATTGTTTTTGAAAATACGATTTTAAGGCGACTCAAGGATGAAACATTAAATGTAAATGGCATGAATATCTTTTTCTTTTTTCTTACGAGCTTGCTCTTTTCTCTTATGAGTTGATTATTACGGCATTGCAAGGACATAGGGGGCAAAGTAAAGCCACTTCGCCGACAAGCTGCTGCGCCATCCGAACGCGGTCGCCAGGGTCCTGTCATCTCTGTGACCTAACAACCAGACGAATTAATTCAAATATAGGTTATAATCATTACTAGTTGATTCTAGCGCACAAATAAAAAAATTCTAGTAAGTAAGAGTTTCTAGGCGGGAGTTCCCGACTAGGGGATACCATGAACCCTCTTCTACCAACACAAAAAAAGTCCATCCATTGAGCTGGACCCCACAAATTGCTAACGCCTATAGTCGACCGCCATACCAACAGCTGACGTTCAATGCTGCAATGATGTTGATAGAATTCGATAATTTGTGGGAATAGCTATAAAATGAAGATATTTGATATATATATACTATTCAAGCGGCTACATGTCAAATTTGACTCTACCTCTTCTAACTTAGAAGAGATTTGCTCAAAAAAAAAGGATTTCAATATTGATTTTGATCGATGAAAACGGAGCAAGTTATCGACTCGGCTATTGATGCTGATCAAGAATATATATGAATCTATATATCGAAGATTAAGTACATTTGTTGACACATATGTTATGGCTTTTTTGATATTTAAAGAGTGAGATCGTAATTTCTGTGATTGGTGAAGATATCTTGGAAATCAGAAAATCGCTATGTACTAATAATCGCAAAGTTTGCTTAAGATATCTAGAAAAAAAACAACAATTTTTAAACCAACAGTTAAATGCGGGCCGCTTTTCACATATTTACTGCGTGCAACAGAAAGATGGACCTATGCAAGGCATCGTGTTGCTTAAAACTGAGCGACTAGATTGCATGTAAACAGAGGAAAGGACACTTGGCTTTATCGAATCGTTTGTTATTAATGAAGAAGAATATATGTATATCTCTATATATAAAACTGTTTGTCCTGACTGACTGATTGACTGAATGACTGATTGACTGACTGACTGCTTGGTGGTCAACGCACAGCCCAAACCGTAACAGCTAGGAAGCTGAAATTTTCACTGTAGTTACCTTATGTGATGTAGGTGCACGTTAAGACGGGGTTTCGGGAAATTCCACCCGCAAGTGTGGAAAAATCGCGAAAAACGTTTGTATGTAACTTTCTTGTTTGCCATCCGATCGGCCTCAAACTTCTTTTCAAAGATCTTTGTTCAAATTCATTTGAGGGGTGTTTCACACTCTTAGGAAAATCCATTCCCCCTTGGTGGAAATGGAGGTCAAAAATTTGGTGGGTGACGTTTCGCGCTCAAATTAATTTCCAGAGATCTATAAGAAAAATCATTTGAGACGTGTTTCACACTTTTCGCAGAATTCAAACTTCTTCGGGGGGAATGTGATTAAAAGATTTTTTGGGCGAAGTTTTAAGTTGTGTCCGATTTGCTTCAAACTTATTTTCAAAGCTCTACATAAGAACTTAATAAGTACGTATTTCAGCGATTTGGAAAATTCCACATGCTACAGTGGTACATTTTCGGAAAACGGTTGTATGAATGTTTTTTGTTTACCATCCGATCTTCCCCAAGGGGTTTTTCACACTTTTTGAAAAATCCATCACTCCTTGGTACGAATGGGGGATTTGGTGGATGATGTTTTGTGTTCAAATTTATTTCCAAAGATCTATAAGAAAAATCATTTGAGACGTGTTTCACATTTGTCGCAAATCTAAACTCCTTCGGTGGAAAATGCATTTCAAAGATTTTTTTGGTGAATTTTAAGTTATGTCCGATTTGCATAAAAGTTGTTTAATTCCCGTCCGATCAGTTTCAAAATCATTTTCAAAGCTTTTTGAAAACATTGATTTTATAACATACGTGCCACGGGCAAGGCCGGGTTATACCCGCTAGTATACATATATGTATATATATATATATATATATATATATATAAAACTGACGGACTGACTGAACGAATGATGATGATCAACGCACAGCCCATACCGTAAGAGCTAGGAAGCTGAAATTTTCACTGTATTTACCTTATGTGATGTAGGTGCACGTTAAGACGGGGTTTCGGGAAATTCCACCAGCAAAAGTGGAAAAATCGCGAAACACGTTTGTATGAAACTTTTTTGTTTACCATGCGTTCGGCCTCATACTCATTTTCAAACATCTTTGTTGAAATTCATTTGAGGATGTTTCACACTTTTCGAAAAATGCATTCCTCCTTGGTGGTGGTGAAACATTTGGTGGGTGACGTTTTGCGCTCAAGTTTATTTCCAAGGATCTATACGAAAAATCATTTGAGACGTGTTTCACACTTTTTGCAGAATCCAAGCTTTCTCGGTGAAAAATGCGATTCAAAGATTTTTTTAACAAAGTTTTGTCCGATTTGCTTCAAATTTATTTTCGAAGCTCTACATAGCGAAAAACGGTTGCATGAAAGTTTTTTGTTTCCCGTCCGATCGGCTCTAAAATCATTTTCAAAGATCTTTGTGGGAATTTATTAGATACATTCGTGGGTGGCAATTGCGGATCAAAGGTTTAATAACCGAAAGTTTATTCTTCAGCTTCAAGATTCTTATAGCAAGACTAACCGTAGATTCCATCACTTAATTCTTTATTCCATGCATTTAAAACAAATTTTTAAAAACTTCGATCAAGATCAAGATGGGTAAATTTCAATTTTCCACGGGCGTGTTCTTGGTGGAAAGGAAATATCTATAATTTTTAGCACAAAACGATCCACGGGCAAGCCCGGCCAATACCTTCTAGTATATATATATATATATATAGAGTCTGAGGTTAAAAATATATGCACTACGACCGATTTGCACAAGCAGCTTAAAAGAATGATTAGGGATTAATATACAAATACATATACATACACATTTGTATACACGCGTATATGCTTGTGTTTTAAGGGCAGTAAGAGCACGAGCGCTAAAGCTGCGGTGTTCTCCTCTGTGGTTGTTTGGGTAACGCCCCTTTAAATACAGTTATTTGATTGGGCCGCGACCACAAGTTTATTAGTTTATATTGTTATTGTATTGATATTTGAATTATGCCCGTTGCATTTAGACTTTTTCTTTGGGCTTTTATACAGAGACTTTTTCCACTTATGTAGATATTTTCTTGACCTCTTAAATTTTTGCAGATGAAAATGGGTAAAGAGAGTATAATGGCTTTGTGCAAAGGTCTGCAATTTTGAGATTTGGTGTTCTGATCTTCCAGGGAGATACATAAGAGCTATATGCTTCAAACTTGTTATGACGGTTCTTGCTCCTATTGGGTAAAATTATTTGCCTAGATTATTATTGTTACAATATAACACTTGAAAAATAAAATTGTTTAAAATTGAATTTACTTATAATATCAACTAAAATGTCACTATTGTGAATTTTGTAGTATACATAATAGCAAATAAGGGAATGATAATAAACAAATAACATTACAAAGCAAATACATTATAAAAAATAAAAATAATAATAATAAGCTGGGAAGAACATGTGTGCATATATATTATTAGTCACTTATTCTTTAGTTATTTCGGCAAGTTCATAAGATCTTGCTCGATATAAACATGCGTGGATTGTGCATAATAGTCAAGCAACTTTATTTACACATATGTAGAACTGTATACATTTGTATATATGTACATATGTATATGCAAATTAAATTAAGTTGCAAAGAATACACATATCATACTTATGTATGTATATAGTATGTACATTTCAATGGTCTGCTTACCTACAAACTGATATGTATCATCATACCCGAGAACCAGGGCGAAGTAGTATGAGCGGTTCAAGCAATAATACCTATGAGTAAGGCTTCGCCCAATTGCTTTGACACACAAACCCACACATAGAAATTATAACAAAACGCCTATAAGGCCAGTATAACTAACAACATTGCCAAGTATATACACGAAGAGTGTGCGCGCGTATGCGAGCAAGCGAGACAAAGAGCGAACGTTGCCGCATTGAAGTCAGCGGACAAGCAAAGGTATCAACCACCACCAAGGAGAAGGCGCTTGTTGCTGGGATAGAAGAGCACAGCACGAGTTGCTGCTGGCGTCGCTGTCGCAGTCTGCTGCCGTCATCACTGATTCGTTTTGTACGATGTTAGACTCTCTCGCTGCGTTTTGAATTCAGTCGACAACGATAATTACCGGTGGTTGTATCTCGAGCGCAGCGACTGAGGCCAGGAAGACCGAACTGACCAACAACCAACGAAACCCGCGCTCGCTTTTCTGCCTATCAACAAAAAGACGAACGCTAACGGCAAAACGAACAACAATTTCACCAATTGTGAAAAGCTTAGTGTGTACGAAATATAACGAAACAATATTCGAAGTTCTTTTAAGCCGGGTTACGTGCCTGTCATTTTGTAAATTATTATTGACTATAGCGCCAACTTCGACGTCATCGCACTGTGCAATTATTAAAGTGAAAACAACAATAGCAGCAGCGTCAAATACACCAACAAGAATAAAAACAGCAGCTATAATTATTTGAACGCATACGTGTATAAAATATATAAAACAATACAAGTCAAGAGCGTGCCATAATTAACACAAGAGCAATAGAAACGAAGCATCAGCATAAGGAGCAAAACCTGGGTAGTCGAATAACAATAAAAATAACAACAACAATAAAAATTATCAAAAGCCAAAACAAAATCAATAAACGGGAATGTGCGAAAATTGCTAAGCAAAAAACTTCAGCAGCATCACCAGTCAGCAAAATCAGCAACACCAATTACGATAGCAGCCATTAAAATTGCCAACATGATTGACGCCACCTGCAATTATTTGAATCCCTATACACTGTCTCAATCAACAGCCGTACAGCAGCAACAGCAGCAGCATCTGCAAATACAACAACAACAGGAGCAACAGCAACCAGGTCATGATTTCATTAGCACCACATTGCTCTCCGCCTCCACGCTCACGTCCAACCGTGACTCTAATGGCTCCTCCCCGTTGGTCTTCTACGGCAAACAAGCAAATGCATCACCAACAGTTTCCGCATCCACCTCACATCAAGTGGTGCCGCCAATGAAATTGGAAATGCAATATCCGCCGCAGGCATCATCCACTGGCAGTGCATCGGCCAACTCCAGTATATCACAGTCAGCAGCTTCCTCGGCATCGGTGTCACCTAGCATTTTCCCATCTCCGGCGCAGTCTTTTGCTTCTATATCCACAAGTCCGCCGGCCGCAGGTGGCTCCTCGTCGGCCACAGCTGCAGCAGTGGCAGCTGTAGCTGCGGTTGATTTGGGTGCCGCAGCGGTGGCAAGCGCCACCTACAGCTGGAATACGGCTGCATACACAGCGCTGCCAACAAGGTAGGATCTCCCTTCCCCTGCTCCGTACGATTTCTACCTATTTTTACACTCTCCATTGCCGATTCTGAAATCCCGATTATATTTGCAAAGATTAAGGCGATCTAATTTGTTACCTCCGTTGTGTCTATTTTGATTGCAGAACTCAATTTCCGTATGCGCAATACGCAACTTATGGAAATGTGGCAACGGTAGGAGTTGCAGCGTCGGCATCTGCCGCCTGGTTCTCACACCAAGAGCGGTTGTACCAGCCGTGGTCTTCACAAGGCTACCCAAGCTTTAATTTTGACGATATCGCTTTTCAGACTCAGCTTCAGCGCCGCTCCGTACGTTGCACTTGTCCCAACTGCACCAATGAAATGAGCGGGCTGCCACCCATAGTCGGTCCCGACGAGCGCGGACGCAAGCAACACATATGCCACATTCCAGGCTGTGAGCGCCTTTATGGCAAGGCTTCACACCTTAAGACCCACCTGCGTTGGCACACTGGCGAGCGACCGTTCCTATGCCTCACGTGCGGTAAGCGTTTTTCGCGTTCCGATGAGTTGCAACGTCATGGACGCACCCACACCAACTATCGGCCATATGCATGTCCAATTTGCTCCAAGAAGTTCTCTCGCAGTGATCATCTTAGTAAGCACAAGAAAACCCACTTCAAGGACAAGAAAACGAAAAAAGCCCTAACCGCCGAAGCCAAGGAGCAGTCTGCGGCCATCAAGCAGGAGAAGTCCGAAAAGGCTTTTAACAATAAAAAGGGGATTAAGAGCAAAGCTACGACAGTAACGATGCTCGGTAACAATATGCAATTCAAACAGGAGCAGCCAGAGGCAACAAACACAGTGGGTTATGCACCTTATGCGAATCTCAATCAGCAAACAGCGAAGACAGCGGCAACGGCCGTGGTAGTAACGACTCTACCGCCACCACCGCCTCTATTTCAGTCACAGCAGCAGAGTGAACCCTCGGCAGTCTCCAACAGTAGCAGTAGCACCAGCAGCTATGAACCCTGGTGCACCAGCAGCAGCAACAACAGCAATATCCACAGCAATAGTCGTGTCATGGAACAAAACCAAACTACCTCAGCGAATGCTAGACCCACATCGGAAGGCTCAGCAATGATTTCCAGTAGCATCAGCAGCAGCCAGACCCAACACTTTACAGCGCTCTCCATGCAGAGTGAGTCGCAGCTGGCGTCGGAATATGGGCTAACCATGTCCGGGCTGGCAAGTGGCGCCTGTGATAATAGTAGCAGCAACTGTAATAATTTAAGTAGTGGATACTCTGGCCTTGTTGGTCCTATGAAGACTGATTATACCGGAAACTATCCGGCTGAATTTTCTAGTGGCTCTGGTTATGGTTATGCACATCATCACGTCGCTCACGCCCATGCGCACGCTCACAACCATCACCATCATTACCACAATGCGTGGACTGCCGCTTATCATCCACATGCAGCGGCCTAGACTTAGCATTAGTGCGGATTAGTACCTAAATAAATCCTTGTTGCTGTTGGATAATTATGAAAAATTCAAATCTGCAGGTTATTATTTTTTCTTACAATGTGAAGTATTATAAAAATAGCCATAATATTGCATATATAAGCAGACTTAATACATATTGTATATCAATACCCTAAGAAAACATTCTAATCAATCCCGAAATGTAAGTTGATGCCCTCTTTATATATTTTTGTCTCGTTAGTGACCTAATTGTTGTTGTTAAGAACGTAATATATAATACATATATAACTATCCAAAAAAATTCAATAATACATGTAAGATGATTATTTTTACATTTTTTTCATAGGTTAAGAAATTTTTTTTGCATGTGTGTACATATTCATATATAAACGTATATTGTACATTTTTTTTTAACTTTCTTTAAGGCAAAGGAACGTAATAAAAAAATTTTGTTTTAATCTGGAATTTATTCATGTGCTAGAAACCCAAAATCGAGTATACTATATTCATTTAATAAAACAGCACATAAATTACCAAATCCCAACACTACACCACAAAAAATGTTTGGGGGAGGTGTCCAAAAAGAAAAATATTTCGTACCTGTGCAAACTATACAAGAGTCTGCATACCAAATTTGGTGTCTCCAGCTCTAATATGCTCCGAGATATGCTTCAAAAATAGTTATTTATTTTAATTTAAATTGTTTTTTTTTTTTTGAAACGGGGCAAGCTATCGATGATTTGAAACAAACTGGGTGGGCACTAGGAAGTCTGTCGTTCAAAACTTCAGATAGACGCGTTTATACAATCGGAAGAACGTACAACCAGACGGAAGGACAAATGGGTAGACACACAGTGGTGGCTAGATAAAGTCGGCTGTTGTTTCTTAGTACCATTTAACTCTTTTTATCCATTTTAAATAGGTTCAGACTGTGAGCATTTTAGAATTTCTCAAAAATAAACACTCATAAATACAAATATTTACGAACGCACTCACATGAGCCTTTTGCTGCGTATATATTCTCTTATTTATTTAATCTTCAAATCATAAAAAAATGGTTACGCAGGTACATGAATGCATTTAAACACGAAGTCAGGTATACTATACAATAACATATGAGAGAAATTTGGTGTTACTAGCTCTTGTAATATTTGAGTTATGCTTAAATCACCAGGTTTCAAAATCGAATTTTTATTGACATGATTTAATGATGGTATGAGATATCGATAAAACTGCTAAAACGTTTTGCGTATGGTATAGGAGAATATATATTCAATCATTTTTTAAGTCTCTAGCTTCTGTAGTTTCCGAGATCGATGCGTTAGTGGGTACTTTTTGCGTTTTGATATTGCAATAGTATTGCAGGACTTTGCCTGCTCACAATGTATTAAGAGCTGACAACAGTCGAGAAAAGTCTTCCTGACTGAGGAATCAGCGAATTGTTTAGATAACTGTGTGAGTGGGCGCTACTGAATCTTCCACAAAGATTATCTAATAAGGTTATATGCTTTGTGAATGTAGCGTGACAACAGTGTGGGCTATAGATTTTCACAGCTGGCACCCTTTGTACACGTTGTCTAACGCGAATATAAAGAAGCATATACTATTTAGGTTTCTAGTCCAAAGCCTCAATATCGGATTTTTATACCCTGAACCCATTAAAATTGGGTAAAGAGGGTATAATGTATTTGTGCAAATGTATGTAACAGGCAAAAGGAAGCATCTCGGACCCCAGAAAGTATATATATTCTTGATCAGCATGAATAGCCGAGTCGATCTAGCCATGTCCGTCTGTCTGCCCGTCCGTCTGTCCGTCCGTCTAACCGTCTCTTACTTGCTTTTTTATTTTTGTACAATTTTGTATATAACATTTAAAAATAAATTGCTGCTGTAACTAATCTCTTATAAGCAATATATCAGGTTTAAATTTTATTCTTAAGTTCCACTTGTATCAAACTCAAAATCGTTCTTAGAATTGCCGATAACTGACACCACCTATAATCCAATGATACCCTTAGAGGCTGTCAAGGTGTTCTAGAAAACATTGTCACACTTACTTAGCAAACAGAAGCAGACATAGACATATATGTATATACTTGGCATAGGGACTGGCCTTGTAAACCAAGGAACCACATTGACTGGCGTGACACGTTTTTTCAAGTGGAGGGACTTAGAAATTCGTTCTGATCCCTCTAATTTTAATCAAATTTATAAATAGTATAAATGTTATGCAACCACTTGACAGTTGCCTGGCCGCAGTTTGTGTTTCATCTTACACAAAGCCAAAACCGCCTTTTTCCTCAGAATTTGGCTTGATGTTACAGGGTTGTGATTCTGACAGCACCACTTCAACCTGCAGCTCCAGGACGACATATTTATTACTTGGGATTATCGCTGCTTAGGGCACTTAGCACTCTTAACCCTATAGGAATAAGGAGAAAGCGCAGAATGTGCGTAAATTTAAATATTATTCAAAATATTTGATTTAACTTAACTGGATTAACATTTAAATATGAAAATTAAATTTATTTAATATATTTTTTTTTTATTAAAATGAAGTGTGAAGAGCTGTTTATTTTAAAAATACCTAAACTTTAAATTTCTTCATTTTTATACCCTGAACCCATTGAAAATGGGTAAAAAGGGTATATTGTATTTGTGCAAATGTATGTAACAGGCAGAAGGAAGCATCTCCGACCCCATAAAGTATATATATTCTTGATCAGCATCAACAGCCGAGTCGATCTAGCTATGTCCGTCTGTTCGGCCGTCCGTCTGTATGTATGAACGCAAGGATCTCAGAAACTATAAGAGCTAGAGACTTGGCTTGACTTTAGCTGTAGGTCCTCCTAGATCCCGCGCAGATCGAGTTTGGTTCCGATATTCGATAACTTGCCCCGTTTCCAAGTAATCGACAAAAATCTTTATCAAAATCCTGTTTTTTGATCAATTTTGGTAAATAATAATAGCTAGAGTCACCAAACTTGACATGTAGCTTCTAGAAAAGTATATATATATCAAGTATCTTTCATTTTATAGCTATCGCCACCTCCCCGCTACTACCTCAGAGCTATAAATCAAGTAAAAACACCAATTTATCCTGCCCAAAAATATAAGCAACAATTTAAATGCAAATGTCTTTTTGATAATACTCGAATATTCTATAGTACAATAAGTTATAGCTTAGAAAATTTCATCAAGATCGGTTAAGAAACACAGAAAAGATTAAAGAAAACGTGTTTTGACGTTTCTCCCATCAGCGGCAGCAAGCGCAAATTCCAAGAATTTCTGTATTTATGTACACACACACACATTCATGCGCGTCTCCTTTGAATTCTATCAACAGCATTGCAATTGCGATTGTAATGTTTTCTGTGCTGCTATTTTAATTCGTTTTTTTCTCTTTAAGACTTAATTATTGCTGTGGCTATCGAGTAGAAGCGGCGGAAATCGGCGCGATCAGTTACGAGTTTGAACCTTGCCAAGGTGGCAATTTTTTGTATATTTTAATTTTTCTTTATTACTACTTAAGCAAACGAGCGCGTAGCGCGAGCTGCATTTGGTGTTGGAAGAAGAGGGTTCAGGGTATCCTCTAGTCGGGAGCTCCCGACTAGAACCTCTTACTTGTTAAATTTAAATAAACTACACGTTTGCTTTCACTTTTTTCGTCTTCTGTAATTGAATAGACAATGAACTATTTTGGCTTAAGATAAGATAAATACTACATTTAAAAAAAATTAATTTAATTAAATATATTTATTTTATATTTGTGCATTGTTAATATACGGTTTACATATAAGCTTTTTGCATTTATTGAATTTGCCATTTAAGTATGTTTTTATTTAAAGCAAGGTGGTTTATATAAAATTTGAATATGAAAACAAACAAAAAAGTGCATTTTAAAATTATATATTTTTAATATGGGTAATTATGGCTTTGTACAATATGTGTAATAGTAATACACAGGAGGAAGCATATATTTACTACTAGCGGGTATACCCCGGCCTTGCCCGTGCCACATAAAATTCTCTCAAATATCTTTGAAAATGAGTTTCAAACCGATCGGACGGTAAACATAAAACTTTCATACATACGTTTTTCGCGATTTTTCCACGCAGGAGGAATTGCCCGAAACCCCGTCTTAACGTGCCCTTCATCACATAAAGTATCTACAGTGAAAATTTCAGCTTACTAGCTCTTACGGTATGGGCTGTGCGTTGATCAGTCAATAAGTCAGTCAGGACAAACAGTTTTATATATAGAGATAGTTTTAAACTGTTTTTTTGTAAGCATATCTCGAAGATTTTACCACATTTGGCAAGAAGATTTGGATGCGTTCTCCACCAAGGTATATCCTTGCGCCCTGATACTCAAACACATTTAGTTTCCATATTAAGACACTGAAAGATCGGACCGATGTGTATATATGAGGGTGTTTTTTTATGTATGCAAGTAAAGAAGTTAGTTTGAAAATTTGTGATTGCATACCGGTGCTGGGTAAACGGTATCTGCTGATCGGGGCATCGCGACAAGAGCACTCATGCTTGTTTTTAGTTGCAGGCTTTTGAGTTGGCGAGTATGATATGGTCATTCTGCTGTTGGTTTTCTTATATCTCTTTTGCTGTTAACGTTTTATGGTTATTCATTTATAAAAAACTTGTTGCAGTATATTGCCCAGCTCGCTTAAAGTTGACTTTTGATCCTCGCAAGATAACCTCTAAGGATAGTTTACTGTTATTTTACTTAACACAAGTCCAAATATATGATTTGGTCAGTAATTACGGGTTAAAATTGCTTTTCGTCTTATGAATCTAAGAGGCAGAAGGTAAGATATATGTGCATACATGCATGGTCTGATTCAACATCAGATTCTATTTAGCCCTGTCTGCATAAACGGGTCGATATCAAAAGCTATATGAGCTAGAGATTTGAAGTCTGGAATGTGTATTCTTCTGCAAGCACAGATGCAGTTTAATTAAAATTATAATTAACTCACTCTGTTTCCCAGAAATCGAATATCGAACTTTAGCTCTTTTTGTTTACCATATATTCAAAAGGCACAACATATAGTGTCTCGTTTAGTACCCGGCCCACTTGCCAGTTTGTATGAACGACAGGATATTGGAATATAGGTAACTCCCTCCGCTTTTTCAAATTTGATAAATATCGGCTTATTGAGTATGTCTCAATAACCAAAATAGCAAAAATAATATAATGGTTCCCAATATTCAAGACAGAAAATTATAATGATAGTTTAATAAATAGAGTTTTTATGTTCGCTTTTACTTATGAAATAAAGTTCTAATGTATATGTGTTACGGCAATTTGAGGTTGCATACTCTTTCTACTTTTGTTATTGTCTGCAGGAATATATCACTAAATATTTGCAGTTCTATTGCTCTTCTAAATAAATACGTACTTATATATTAAGTATGTATAGGATAAGTATGACCCTTATCAATTCACCTTTCATAGCGATTTTCATTTCTGAAGTACGTGACTCAATCAATGCCTCGCACATTTAACCGTGACAGTCACACTTAAATTCGAAGATTGTGTGTATCAGGGGTATTCGCCTATTTAAGTAGTCAATTGACCGACAATAACATCTCTATCAGCTAGACATAAAATGTTTCATTGTCGACATATGTGGCATACAAATTAAAATATTTTTGTGTTGCCTGGTATTATGAAATTGCATTGTAAGATGTGTGTCCCAAAAACATTACAACAGTAACAAAACAATGCAACTTAAGAAAAGTGTGACATATGTGCAGTCAATAAATTTTCCACTTTTCATGCTGACAGCACATAAAAAAGGAACAGGACCAAAGCGAAGAACGAAACTATTGCCTCGCTAACGGCCCCACAATGACATGACACTTTTTGGTAGCAACTTAAAACTTGAGAATATTTATATATACATCCTTGGATACTTGTTTGTTATTTCCCTTGTAATCAATTTGATTGTATTTTTTTGCGTTTTGCGCATTTGTGTATGTCAAATTTACCAATTTACTAATCGCTAATAGCCTAATACACGACACACGAGGCTTTCGCCGACAACACTGCAGATGCAGTGTCATGCTTCTGATTTGTATGTAGATATGTTGCGTCGGGCTCATAGAGCCAATGGGCAGAACCAAATACATTGACTTAATTAAGAGTCATTTGCTCCAGTGCCGAAAGTTCTGTGCCTTATTGTGACATACAATTTTATATTTAAAGTGACCACAAGTGTCTGCCCATAGGAGCAGCCGCACAGTGGACGAATTTGCTGACGAAACGAAATGGAAATTTTCGATCATTAAAATCTACTAAAATGTATTAAATGTGGAGGTTGTTCTGAAAAATCCCTGGCCTTGCCCGTTAAAAGTTTTGTGTTTAAAATTTTAGATATTACCGTCCGTAAATTTCCATTCAATTACCCTCTGTCCCACATTTTGGATTTAAAAAAAAAAACGATCAAATAAATGTTCACAAAGAATTTTAATGCCGATGCGATGATTTTTTTTTTTCCAAATTTAAAACTTAAAACCTTGCTGTTCAAGCTTTGACTCGCATTTATCACCCAAGAGGGGAGGCTTTTGAGAAAAGTGTGAATCACATATCAAAAGAATGTTCTCAAAAACTTTTGTAAATGAGATTGAAGACGCATAGAAGGTAATTAAATATCTTTTTTGTGGCTGTCTTCCGCCAATTTACCACTGTTGCGGGTGGAATTTCCAAAATTTTAGAAACGTGCATTCCATAAAGTACTTATGTAGCGCTTTGAAATTAAGTTTGAAGCCAAAAAACTTATAGCTTCCTCCAAAAATTGTTCATTTGCCCAACGAAGAAGCTTATATTCTGCGAAAAAAGCAAAACCCGTCTGAAATGGTATTTCATAAAGATCCTTTGAATTGAATTTGTAACCGAAACTTCAGCCACCAAATATTTGATCGCCAGTTTCACTAGGACGTATGGAATTACCGAAATGTGTCAAACAACCCTAACATGAGCAAAGATATTTTGAAAATCAGTTTAAGGCCGATTGGATGGTAAACAAAACAGTTTCATACTTGTGGGTGGGATCTTTTTAAACCCCGTTTTAGCGTGCACCTCCATTACATAAAGTAACTACAGAACAAATCTCAGCTTCCTAATTCTTAAGGCTTTGGCTTTGTGCGTTGATCACAAATCAGTCAGTTAGTCAGGACAAATGTATATATATATTTGAATATAGTATGCATTTTAATTATTGCACCATGGGCAACGCAATTGACTTTGCCATCATCCTCTTAGACCGTACGGAATATATGCTTTGAGTTAGCTTTTAAAAATCCCAAAAAGTAGCGTTGTGAAATAATAACTTTTCTTTCCTGAAAGAATCTTAAGATACTTTCACTTAGCTGTTTGTTTTGTTTCTTCTAGCTACATGTGGATTTGTGACGCCTGCTTTTCATGCCTTCACTGTCGCTTATCCTGTTAATTTTATTTTATGCACCTAATGTAAGTGATAAGGATATTTTGTGCAAATATTTAAAACAGGCAGAAGCATCTCCGAACCCATACTCAGCAACAACAGCCGAGTCGATCTAGCCATGCCCGTATGTATATCCATTTGCCCGTATGCATGAACATGCATAACCACATATGTGACCTGAAAATTTGAAGAATACTTGGACCAAAATGATAAAGCACAGTCGCAACGCAAGTTGCGCAGCAAGCGGCAAAAAAGAAGCTAAGTATAATGTTTTTAAAGGTAGATTGGCGCGAAGTACAGGGTATCTAATAGTTGTGCAATCCCAACTTGTTCATTTTTCAGAATATTATTACCTAGTCTAGAAAAAGTCTGGAAAGTCTGACGTGTATTTACGAGAATAGCTCTTGCGATCCCACATCTCTTTTTTCATACAACGCAGACTTTCTTCCCAATACAAGTTGATATTTGGTCGACAATTCATTTTGCAGCATTTTGTGAGTGTGTGTGTGTTTTTGCAATTATTATAAATCAACATTTTGATTTATGCATGCAACAAAATTTCAGCCACGGACACGACAGCAACATTGAAGTTGTAAATGGCTAAATTTATTGCCAAAACACTTACAAATACAAAGTGTGTGCATTTCAGATATTGCGCCTTTAAGATAGTAATGGACCTTAGGTGTTTAAAGGGTGAGTGACAGCTCTATTTTTGTACACATGATAAAATATTTTTTAAAAATCTGTATCACCTTGATACAAACCGCCGTTAGGTAAAATTTGACAAAATTGAGAAAACTAAAACCAAAACTTATTAATAGAGGGCATAGCCTTGTTCGCTATCTTAAAGAATTGCAAAGTCGGACATAAGTGCAAGGTATTCACAACTCACAATGTGAAGCTAAGAAAACATGCAAGAAAGGTTGTCCAACCCCATAAAGTATATACTATATTATTGGTCAGCATCAATTCCCAAGTCGATCTAACCAAGTCCGTCTGTATGTCCGTATGCTTGAACGCGTTGATCCCTGAATCTATAAAAGCTAGAGACTTTAAATTTTGAATCAAAGTCCTTCTATTGCCTGAGCAGTACAAGTTGTTTTATCAATAACTGCCCCGTTTCCAAGTAATTGATTAAAAACGATATCGAATTCCTCCATAAGCATATCAGAAATGTTTAAAGTGCTAGGGTCACCAATTTTCACCTGTAACTTTTCGTATAAAAGTTGCCCTCAGCACAACATGACTTTATAGATTGCATGCTTGACCTTTCGTTGTTTCAAATCAATTCAATTTCTAATCATTTGAATAGAACACTTGATCTTGTATTTATTAACGACTACCTTATTTCTAATGTGTCTAGGTCCCCTCCTTTATCTCTTCCTTAGGATGTATATCATCCTACTTTAGAGGTTGCAATGTTCAATTGTAATCCTCTCATTTCGTGCTCATCAGCCAATAAGCCCCGCCGTTGCTTTCGCAAAGGAAATTATTCATTGCTGAATTAGCTTATTTATGCAACCGGTTGGTCTTTCTTATATGACTCGGTTGACATGAATACTGCTATTAACTTTTTTTATAACACCCTAAACTCCCTCTTAGATATGTGTATTCTCAAGTCAATTCCTTCGACTACCTCTTCAAAGCCACCTTGGTTTACTCCCAGATTAACGAATCTAAAAAATATAAAATCAAAATATTTTAAAAAGTTTAAAAAGTCTGGTTCGTGTACTGACTTGGCTAAATATTCCATAGCCAAGTCGAACTTCTTTCTTCTGAATTCTCAATGCTATGAGAATTATCTAACTCGTTGCAAAAGGCAATTTGCCCTAAATCCAAGACAGTTTTACAATTTTGTAAACTCGAAGCGTAAATCTTCAAGTTTGCCATCTTCTTTTTCTCTCGGGATGGATAAAGCTAGCAATGCCTCTGATTCTGCTAACCTATTTGCTAATTTTTTTCAATCAACTTACTCTTCAGTCTGTCCTAATAATAATTCTTACCCTTATACTATTACTTCCTCTAGTTCTATACCTCCCCCTATTATTTCCCTTTCCTCTCTCCTTTTAGCTTTAAATTCTTTAAAATCTTCTTTCTCTCCTGTGCCTGGCAATATCCCTAGTTGTCTACTCAAGGAGTGTAGTTCTTCCCTTGTTCATCCATTGCTAAAGCTATTTAATCTATCCCTTGAATCTTCTGTCTTTCCATCTCTTTGGAAAGAATCTTATATCATTCCTCTCCACAAGAAAGGTGGAAAGTTTGAAATACTAAATTACAGGGGCATTGCAAAACTGTCCGCTATTCCTAAATTTTTTGAAAAAATAATCACTTCGAATTTGTAGCATTTCTGCAAATCAGTTGTATACTACGTCGGTATACTACGACCAATCTGCTTGAGTTTACTTCCTTGGTAAATGATG